ATTCAGGCTATACAGCGCGTCGCTTCCAGGGGACGCCCTAGCACTTACACAATGATCAAAAGGATTCATGTCATGATTTTTTCAACAAGTTTTACGCTGGCTGTCGACTACCTAACGCAACCCTCCACTTTTCTCATCCGGGCTTGGGACCGGCAACGGCAGTGTTGAAAAAACCTTATTTTCAATCCAGGGAGAAAATCCACAGGACTTATTTTGATAAGATTTTGATACCAATAAACCCAAAGAATAATAGAAAAATAAATATTATTATTGAAAAAACCAATAAGTGATTACAACCAAACACACTCACTGAAGTGGAAAATAACAACACACACATCATACAAACCTAAATTGGGGTCCAATCCAGGGAGGTTCTGGTGAGCAGGAGCAACAACAAGGGGGCATTGGGTCAGCATTATATGAATGGCAGCAGGTATGGGGCAGTTGGGCAGCTTGCAGACAGATATCAAGGATGGTAAGGGCAGCTGGGAAGGCTGCAGACTGCAGGAAATGGCAAGGGAAGGCCGGCAGTCGGTAAATACGGCTAGGACAGCAAGGCAACAGCCAGAGGAGATGGTAAGGGGCAGCAGGGAGGGTTGAAGGATGCAGGAAACAGCAAAGGAGGGGTTGGAACTGTGATGAAAGCGAAGCGGAAAGCCTGAAACAGCAGCGGCGGCAAATAAGAGGTAGGGGAAGGCGATGGTTGCGGCTAGAACAGCAGAAAAAACAACAGGGAATGTTGTTCTAGGTAGCTGCAGCAAAAATGGATGTGTGGCCGTGAAGCAAGAGGGATGAGGGGGAGTTGGGAAAAGATAAACGTCATTTCGGGAGCAAGATACAGTCAGACCACCACTCAACCCTTGGATACAGCCCTTGAAGGGAGAAATGAAGACGTCGATAGTTGTCTCAAACACACATACGCCAAAATTAACCATAAAACATCACGAGCGAATATATAATAAAAGGATAACTAGAAGTAGCCCAATAAATCGGCTGACTCCTCAGAAGGGGAAAAAAAAAATCTAAACTGGTTTGGTCCAAGCACGCACGTGTGAGCTGCTCGGTCGCAGGCGTCTGCATTTGCCAGTCACAGGAGCCACCAGCGTCAGGATCTTAGATTCAAATGAAGGAAAAAAAAAACCTCTTCAATACTAACCTTTTCAAAATAACACTTAAAACTTCACAACAGTTATTTCATTAGCTTATTTTTGTTGACAAACGAGCTAACAAACTCCATCCAAAACGCAACCCTAATGAATCTAATCTAGACTGTCAACAACTGTTAATCGTAATCATGATGTCCTTGCACAGCGATTAGGCAAAAAAAGCATGGATGTCTTCCTCTATTTAGGGACTAGTAAAGGGCTAGCTGATTGTAATCATGAGACGAGCGTAGGGTCAAAGAAGGACAGCCATTTATCAATTTAATGAGCGGAAAAAAGAAAAAGAAAATGATAGAACTAATTAATAGAATGGGAATAAATCCTGAAAATACCCAAATGAATGATCATCCATACAAAGTTAGCACATCCAAAGTGTAAAAATGAAAGTAGTCCAAATACTCGTCATCATGAATTTCTACTACATAAAGCGTAAACTTTACATAGTATTGAAGGAGATAGATTATCATCTGCATAAAGAATGTAGTATTACTTATGCTATTAAAATACATGGCATGTATCAAATACCTACATGAAACAAAATCAGTGTTGTTAACCAATATCATCATGATCATAAGGATAAATAAACTACTTAAGTTAGCTATACGAGTCAATCTTCTCCAGTCAATCCTATTAATTCTTGAATATTGTGCTAGATCTAGTTTGGAAGATCACCTGTCACTTTGTGTATAGAGGATAGTGTATTACTTCACTGGTAGAATATAGGTGTCTATCAAGACTTTATATGAAACTAATGCATGTTGACCATTTACCTAATATCATAACCATTTTTAGGCAAACCCAAGAATTTGAGCCTGCACATGAAACAACTTTGTTCATTTCATTCCTAAACGAGAATCAAGTAACTTTACCGCTAGTTTTTGCTAAACTTCTACACATTATCTAGCCAAACTACATTTGTGTAAGCATTTCTCTTCCTATAATTTTCAAATTGATACCATCTCCCCACCGTATCTGTGTATATATTGCACTCTTTTATACATAAAAAAATCATCAAAACTTACTGTTTTAAAGCTTTTTTTTAAGAGATGCGCTCTAAGAATCTCTCTTATTCAATTATTGCACATTCCATCTTCCTCAAATTTACCAACAATGCATCTTATCATTCTTTCCATTTTGCTTAGTTGCATGTAATATATCTTTTGTTAAAACTAACTATACATCATCTTGTTGTTGCAAAATTTAATTATTGTACAAAACTCCTGAGGTGCCTTGATATATAATATCTAATTAGTTTAAACTTTTAATAACTATAACAAAGATAAAATTTGTATCATCGCGATCTTCCACTCATAATGGTGGCCTTTTCCTATAGTGGGAATTTGGATCTATCACTACGCTACATGGAGAATGAGGCGTTACTTCTTACTATGACAATACAAGGGTATCCTTCTTATCTGTGTGAACAACAAAAAAGGAAGTATAGCATGCATGAACTATCTTCAAAATCAGATTGCAACAAATTAGTAATCATCACTTTCTTTCATCTCTATAACTATAAAAATAACAAAAAGTGAATTCAACAAGAATGCTACTCTGTTTTGACATTCAGCCTATAAAAAACTAGTGATACTACCACTATTCCTTCTTTTATTTTGGATTACTAGGTTCACCAACATCTTGTTTAACATTAAGTTGTTGCATTATAAATGTTCTTGGGGTGATAAAAATCGATGCAAAAAGAATGTATGCAAAAGAGAGCTGATGCCTTGTGTACTGCTCAAAGGATTGAACGGAAGAGGAAAATTCAGAAAACAAAGCAAAAACATTTGAGAAATAGCTAATCATGATGCTAGGAGAAAGTTGATTTTATTTAGATACTATATATAGAAGCATCCTCTAGTCTTCCATTGCTTCTATCATGGATCTCACTCTGTTATGAATTGGCTACTTCTAAATATATGCTGTTCACATCAATCATCAGATGCAAATATTATGAAAAATTAGGATCACTCACCGCACTCTAGCAGTGCTCGTCAAAACTGAAGCAATAGCTATACTCTAATCCAAAGAAATAGAATTCCTAATCAATCACTCCATCTTCTACTCAACGACTGAGCATCAAAATAATTGTTTGTGATTGCAAGACAGTTAATCTTAAGTTCAAGTGTGAACCCTAAAGCGATTTGTAAAATCCACAAAAAGTGAAGAGCAACAAAATAAGGAAAGAGCACAAGTCATGCAACATTGCCTTGAATTTTCCCGTGCTTCCCATTACCACAAGTATCTTTCTTCCACGTTATATAATACAACAAGAAAATAAAGGAAATGGAAGCAAAAGAAACTAACTTCCCCTCACTCATAATATATATATATATATATA